GGGGTTAGTGACATGAGTGCGCCCCCTGGCTGCCTAAGTTAGTTACAGCCCCTCACCGGACGCACATCTCCATGGCGCGCATAGGTGGCAGCATTGGACCCGGTACAGGCTGCGGTACCGTGTGTTCTCACCCTCCTTGTACTCTGGTTGAGGCTCATAAATGACATGATAAAGGTTGTTTTACTGGAATCAGATTCTTTGATATATCCCTGATGAAAGCCTGCTCCTACTCAGCTTGATTGATTGCTCCTGTCATCTTATAATGCATGCAGAGTGGCACTGCTCTGTTTTCATGACTCCCTGCTGCTCACACTGTGTGTGTGTGTGTGTTTGTGTGTCTTTTATCTGATATTTTTTGTAGCTTATTTCATGTCAGTATACTCTTGTGTGTGTATATGTTAAAAATTGCTTGTGCGCTTTCTTCTGCAAGTATGAGTGCATATCTGTACACCACCGAGCTTACGAGCATTATGTAACTATATAGTGTGTGTGTGTATTCAATAACGTTCACTGCTGAAGGTCAGCTCCCTGGAAACTTGACAAATTATCTCTATCGACAGCGTTAGCCTTGTCTGTACTTCACCAAAGACCACAGGCTGCCGCAGCTCATTTGAAGCAGATTTCTACTCTAAAACATCATCTACAACTTTTTCTTTTCAGATAAAATAGTTGCCAGAATAACTCAACACTCAAATTTTAAAAAAAACATTTATGTTAAATTAACTTGTTATTTTGAAGGAAGATTCCAAGCAAAATGTATTTGAATAATTTCACTGTCTCATTTGTCAAATCTCAGACAGTGCTCATTAGACCTTGATAAAAATTGTTTTCAGTTTCACACAAAGTGTCTCATCATAGCTGTGCCCCTCAAATAAAAAATGACTGATTAAAAAGGTTTTTAACCTCTTTGTGCTTATTGTTTTGGTTTTGAAGCACATTTATAGCTTCGGTCTCACTGCTCCTGCTGTAGTTTTTAGTGAAAAGAAGCTCTGATAAACCCACCGCATGCTGCCTAGGGCCAACTATTTCTTTCAGGAAGAGGTGGAGAGCAAAACAGAGCTAACAAAGAGAGTGAATATTGGATTTACAATCAGCAGGTGGCCAGAGAAGCGACTGCTGGTGAATGCTACAGTTGCTCCGTGTCTAGTTGATGTGCATTAGCCATAATAAATATATCAACTTGGCTTTATTAAGTCATCTGGATTTGTTTCTACTGGTTTTACAAATCACATACATCATATTTTTTTCCAAAATATATTGTACCTTTAAAGAGGGATTCAAGAGACTCCAGGCAGCCTTGGTAATTCAAGGCATTCAAGGAAGCTCCAGCATCTGAGATTTGAGAGTTGCTGCACAGCAACATTTTAAATGTAAGGCATTTCATCTCACCACAGCCACGTTTGCTTGTCTGTCCTTTTAGATTAAATTCTCTGATGCATTTTGGCAGCTGATAGGCCTTTTTTCTAGGAATTAACATGTCACAGTAGCAAAAGTACAGGTGTAAATAATAAAATGAATGATGGCTGGATTCCATTTAGTTGCTTCAGTTGCATTGTCCTGCTATTGTTCATGTTGGCTCACTGTCACACTTGAATAGAATTGAGCCATCATTAATGCTATTAGTAACACCTGCACCTTTCCTTGCCTGCAACTGTTATAATGATGATAATAATGTGACTTTGACACAAAAAAGGAGACAAAATTGCTCAAATTAAAGGATTACAACCATGTACAAGTTTATTTTCATGGCATACAGAAAAAAACAAAAATTAGCAAATGGCTTGAAGATAGAAAAAAATTGTTTTAAATTGTGGTACGCTTTGGAGAGTGGTTGTCAGAAATGTAGAATATCATATAATATATTAGTGGATGAGCTAGAACATACAACCTCTGGCTGCATGTGCCGGTACAACAAATCAAGGATATAAAAGTTGTACTGGAGGGGTGTAAGTACAATTTTCCCATCATGATTTCCACTGTAACCCTTTAAATAAGAAGCAGTTGGGGAGTAGAGAAAGGTGAATTTGCACTATAAAAGGAGAATGCATTGTTACTATGTGTTCAGGCTCCATCATTTTCATTCATCTGCAAGAATTTGTGTCTTTTTTTCTTCATCCTGCACCCCTGCCATGACCTTTGCGGTCCCCTTGTGCATATTAAATGTTGATATTCCTGCCCATATTTGTGATGACTAGGGAGTTTTCATATAGGGTGATGGGGTGTCAGGTACCTCCTCTCCACACTGAAGCAGAGGATGTGGTTACACAGATGATACTCTGCTGCTCAGATTACTGTACGTGTGCATGTGTATGTGCATGTGTGTGAGCAACCTTTCCGCTAACTCCCATGGTCTAGTACGTGGCTCAGTGTGGCACTGCCGGTCTCAGAGTTCATTCCTCATCCTGAAAACCTCTGAATCATCCACATCTGCCCTGTTCTGCTTGTACAGCTGGAATCTTTATCAGTAAAAATCAGCATTATATTAACTGTTCAGTTAAAGACTTGTGCATTTGGTTGTCAAAAAGCAGGAATTTGTTGCAAAGATATTACCATCTCTTTAGGCTACAATAAATCATAGTTTCATTTCTTGTGAGTTATGAGAATAAGGAAAAGGAAATGAGGAAATACAGGATTAAAGTCTATATCTGTGTTTGCTTTATGATGATCACTGACTGTGCAGTACACTACCATGTATGTATTTACCATTACATGACTGAAAGTGAATTAACATTACTGAAAACTACTGCTAGCCTTAAGGGTGCAATGATTTGTGCACCCTTAACATGTATATCTATATGTTTACCTGTCAGGAAAAACATTACCATACCATAGGAATATTTTATTTTTTGTCTTTCCTTGAAAAATAACAGTTATTAAGAATTTACAAATAAAGTGGCAAAAAAACTCTTTAAAAATAGTAATGTCGACCTGATGAAGACCAATATTAACTCCCTGTTTATCTCTGTTTCGTTCTCTACCAGCTCCTGACCAAAATATGAGTCTCTATTTTTTGAGCTTTTTCACTGCACAAACAATTGCCTGCTGGTCTGGGAAGAGGACTGATGAGAGCAGTGGGACTGAGCCCCAACAGTAAAGATTTAGGCACTTGAAGGACTAGGGTTTAGTGGTATCTGGCAGTGTAATTGCTGATTGCAATGTCCTCGCCTCACCCCTCATTTCCAAGTGTGTAGGAGAACTACGATGCCGACAGGCCCCATCTACAGCAAGTGTTTGGTTTGTCTGTTCTGGGCTACTGTAGAAACATGGCAGTTCAACATGGTGGACTCCATGTAAGAGGATCCAGTCTTTTACCTGTACTATTTATTGATTAATCTCGTATTTATTTCCAACAAACTAGACACAGAAGACGCATCACTTCCTGTTAATCAAAATGAAGGAAGAGGAAAATAGACAGTCCTCAGAACTGCAATTGGACGCTTTAGTAAGCTGCTACACGCTAAGACATTACATCAACTTACAATAGAAAGTCACAGAACAGACAATTCTCTAGAAATGTTGTGGCTTTTGACTTTTTAAGTGCAAATTTTAATGCCAGAAAAAGAGCTCTGTTTCCGACTTGGGTCTTGGCGTGCATGGCTTGTCAGCATGTAGCCGAGCATGGTGTGAATGAAAATGTGTTTGATCAGTTCCAGAATCTCTCTCTCATTTTCTGGTTTGCTTGTATCTCCTTCCATCTCTACCACCTTCCAACAGAGCCTTGATCAACAACGTCCATTTCATCCCATAAATGCCGGCTGATGCCAAATCATAATTAAAATCTCTGTAAAGAGCCGCCTGAAAAAGAAGCTAATTAGGCATTAAAAAAAAAAAAAAAAACTGTTTTTGTCCCTTTTTTTCCTCTTCCTTTTAGACGCAAATCAAATTAACTCTCTTAACTTTTGTGCTTAAGCGTCAAGGTCTCTGTGAGCGTTTCTCCGGATCAGGAAAACCGTACATTTTTTTTTGCATTAGTTTGTTTTGTTTCATTTACTGGATTCTTTGTGTTTTTTTGTTTTATTTTTGATCAGTGACTAAATCAGAGCGATCCTTGTTCTGTTAAACTCTACTGCAGCAGCAATTACAGAGAGAAAGGGAAGAGGATGGGGAAAGGAGACACGTGAGCAGGAGGGGAAGGAGAGAGGAAGAGTGAGAAAGAGAGAGTGGGTGGTGGGGGGATGGATACTTTTAGAGCAGTGGCTCAAAGGACGACCAGGCTTCTTCGCACTTGTTTATGTCCCTGCTTGATCTCTATCGCAACATGATGCACACCTACGCACCCATATGCCACAGGTGTAACCACCACACACACACACACCACACACAACACACACACAGGGCTAAAAGGCCAGACTTCTGTAGAGCTTCCCCCTTTTGTCTCTTCTGGATGTGACTGTAATTACAGCTCTGCCGGTGATGAACAGCAGGGGATGTTGCTAATGCTACAGCTAACTAGGAGCTTTCAACCATTGCAACTGTATGCAAGAGCACCAATAAATAACAACCAGAGAGAGAGAAAGGTGACTGCCTATTGTTTATATTCTTTCCAACCACTAAAGATGCTGTTCATCCGTCACATTACAGCTTCTGTTTGCTCTGCTCATTGTTTCCTCTCCAGCATAATCCCATATATTCCTCAGTGCAGTGCTCTTTTTCTGCCTCATATTCATTACTTTATTCAATCACTGAAATAATGTCAAATTCACGCACATGGAATATGATAGTTCACTGCCCAGAAATCAACTCTCAAATTGACATTTTCACAACAACAACTTTAACAACTTTTACTTAGTTAGAATTTGTTGCTCACTGAAGATCAGAT